CTGGAGGCCTCAGCATCCCGTTGCCGGCCCTGGAGTGAGTGAGGGGGAAGGGACCCGGCCTCCAGTTGCCGGCCCAGGAGTCGGTGGTGGGGGAGGGAAAGGGAGTGGGCGACCGGAGGCTTCTGCCTCCTGGAGCATGGAGAGGGTGGGGTTTGCAGAGAGGTGAGACCTCAGACAGGTAGAATGCAATAGACTACACCCTCCAAACCAGCCATTTTGTCCTGGGTAACAACTGCTGCCAATCTCCAGGTGAGGGCTACAGATCACTCACAATTACAACTGCTCTTCAGGTAGCAGAGATCAGTTCCTCTGGAGAAAACAGAGGACTCTGTCATTATACCCTGCTGAGGTCACCACAGCAAATTGACACTGTTTGCCCAAAGCCAGAGCACTGCCCCAGAGCCTCTTTCTAGATCTTGTTGTATTGCTTTCACAACGGGCTTTACTGCTAGTTAGCTATAATGGAATTGTTTTTAGATGATTTTATGTTGTTTTAATTATATTTATGCACTGATTGTGAGCCGCCCTGAGCCTGCATTGCGGGGAGGGCAAGGTACAAATAGGATTAATAAATCAAATAATAAATATGTAGAGTTTGCACCTCATCCAAATTGTGTTCTGAAGAATACTCTCAGTTTTGTAAATGGTGCCTAGTTTACACTGGGCAAGAGCAAGGTGGTTATTGAAAAAATAATTTTACCTCTAGTTTTACATTCAATCTTTTTATTTTTCAGTTTTGGATTGTCAACACCTTCTCCAGTTGGTGTTTCTACCACTTTGAGAGGTATGTTCCCTACTCTGAAAACTGCTGAGAAGGCTTATGCCTACAGTGATGTTCCATGTGGTTTGTTCATGAGTCTTGAGGGCTTCCTTTTGCATGGCCTCTTCAAAGCTTCCCTCCTATCTTTTATAATTCAAAAGACTTGTACAGTGTTGTACTGAATGGGAAAGGTCTGCCATATTAAAATCACATTGATGAACTGTTGAAGACATTTTGTTTTGACACATTTTATAACACAATTTTAGTTATTTGGTGATGTGAAACATTTAATAATAGGCCACCATTAATGCAGTAATGTAATTGTCTAAGACTCTAAGATACGTGTACATCCATTCAAAATGCCACTTGTCTTCTTCCTAAGATGCAGCTGCCAAAGTTCTGCCTCCCGATGAGGTTTCAGTTGAGACTCCTTCAGAAACTATTACTGACAAGATTGAAGACACTGAAGTAAGTGTATGGACTCCTTTGCATTTTGGAGGCAGAGAATTGTGTTTATGTTTCATTAGTTCTGTGCAGGTGACCAAAGCACTCTACATTCAGCACATAAATGCAGTGTATAAATGGCAGCAGGCTTTGTCCCTGACCCTCATGCATTGATTGATCGGCCTAGTGCACAGATCCCATGTGTGTATGCACTCCGTGCACAAGGTACAATCAGTGCTCAGAGGGTGGGGACAGAGCCTGCTGCCACAGTCCTATTTTTCTACCAAATGTTAATTGTACACTGTCTCAGTTGTCTGCACAAGATTAAGTGACCCATTCCTTTGTAGACATGTTACAGCTGTGATCCCACTAATTTTCCAGTTTGTGATAATAATTCTCCCCTCAGTTTCTGTTTAAGTGAGCTTCAGAAGGCTCCCCAAGACTAGTATAATCTTCAAACATCAACTGTTGTTGTCTTGATATTACAAAACAGGGTATTCTGAATCAGATTTCCCCCCCCTAAATCCAACAGATCTGGCACTATGGGAAATCTTGCCCCCTGTTAGAGTGGAGTGATCTATTTTTGTTTGAGAATTGGTAGTATCTCATGGACTTGTCAGTTTTGAAGGTAGTTGAAAGTGATCTAATCCTGCCACCTCCACTGTGGCAAAATCCTTCTTATCAGACAGCAATAATAAGATTAGCCAATATTTAGGCTGCAATATGTTACAGATTGAAAATGGGAGTCAGAACCATTTGTAAGGTCCCTATCATATATATGAGTAATAGGAGTATCCTAACTAGATCCCACTAATAGAGATCTCCTAGCTAGATCCCACTAATTTTCCAGTTTGGGAAACTATAAATTAAATGATGGTCTTTGAGAAGTACAGACCATTTTCTATTTTCAGTAGCCAAGATGGGAACTACTGTATATAATGCATTTCAGTTGTTTATTGCTATGATAAATGCCTTCCACTTCAGAAAAAGCATCTGTAAACTATTGCTGAAAAGAAACTTTGCAAACCACAAAATCTAAAAAGAATGCTTTGGGATTTAGGTGACATCTCATATGCTTCATTGTTATACTCAACTGCCAAATTATGCTGAAAATTTCGAGAATGTCTTAACTTTAGTTGTCCTCTAGCCTAATCTTTCAGATCTTTTAACACAAAGACTTGGGGAGGGGGGAGTGAGAATGGATAACAATCTAAATATAGTGCTTTTGAGATATGTTGATATAAATGAAGAATGTTGGTTAGAAAATTATTGCCTTACACTAAGAAAATAGGAGATACACATGGGAAAGATTATATATTTTATTACAAACTACTTAGACCTATGAAATCTCATAGGTGAATCAAGGTAACATTCCAACCCTTCCTTTGGCCATTATTATTGTTATCTCCCTACACATCCACCTACTTTGGTTCAACCCTCCCTCCTCACCCACTCACCACCTCTGTTCCCAGCATCTCTCCCTAACTACTTGTCAATCATGCCTCTTCCCCAATATGTCTTCCACTCCACTTTTCACCTTTGGTAAACAATTTTTAAAGAGATTTGTACATTACAGCATTAATCAGACCAGTGGTCCATCTATTCCAGCATCCTGCCTCACACAGTGGCCAACCAGTTACTATCGATGGCCAACAACTGGGCATAGAGGCCAAGGACTTCCTCAGATGTTGTATCCTAGCATAGTTTTCAAGAAATTTATAATCTGACTGCATGTTAACAATCAAGAAATGAGTGTGTATCACAGGATACAACTCAGTTCTCTTAAGTAACTACTGTCTGCCTTTAACTGTAGAGCTATGGAAATGAACTCATATCTCCAAGAGTGGTAGAAATTTGAAAAGCAAATTGTATTCAAAATAAGTTTTGACATTTATTCTGAGTGAATTTGTGCAGAAATTATACTAATGAGGGTAAGGTTTTTCTTCTAAACCTCTTTCATTCAATGTTTCCTTCCCCACCACTTCAGTTCAATAATGAAATAAAGAAAGAGGAAGAGAAACTGGCGAGACTGGCACATGAACAGGTGGTTGAGTTCAGCATTCTTCTTCCTGAAGAGAAATACAGCATCGAACTCAGCGACCCTTTCACTGAAGAGTACCAGCAACTCTCACAGCTATTCATTTCTGAAGTAATTGCCTCACCTGTCCATTTCCCCCTATAATCTGAAATGTTAATGACAGAGCATGCAGATTTTTATCTTCTTTAATGGTATTTTCTGGGGTAAATGGCTATGCTCCTCAGCATCTACTGATGTTGTTGTTTCTGTCCCCTGTTGTTTCTGTCCTCTATGAGGGTTGTGTAGCTCCCACCTGGAGTAGCATCTTCTTGGTAACATTTAGTTAAAGAAGATATGATGTGACATCATCATTTCTCCCCCTCCTATCAAAGGCTGCAGCCAATGAAGTAGAGCGAGGGCAAGAAAACTGTGAGCATTACTATATTGCTTCATATGTCTTCTTTAGCGAACGTTGTTGGGCAGACACAGGAAAAAGATGACCTCAGGTTTTATTTATTTATTTATTTATTTATTTATTTATTCACATTACAAGTATTTATTTATTTACATTACAAACTTTCATCTGTTTACATTGTGAACTACTTAAGGGAAGAACAAAGGGTTTTGGATCTTGCCCTTGTTATAAAATCCCTCCCTCTGCTCCCCAGGCCTGCAGATAGAATAAACTATATAAGGTTCTCTCACCATGAGTGCTGCTTTCCAGCTGAAACCTTAGGCTTCGCTTGCCTAGCCAGCTGGCACTGGGGAGATATACTCTCTATATGCATCCCTGATTAAGGCGCTGCTTATCCACCCTTGCCTAAATGACTAAGACAGTTGCTATTGTGAGAACTAAGAAGTAAATTATTAGTAACAATCATAATTGTTTCTCTAACTCACCTGGATCATGCCTTGGCAAACACTGCTGAATATATTATACTAGGTCTAGTCTCCTGCCAGATTGTGGCCCATATGGGGAATAGATATATTCCATCCTGCAGGCAAAAAGAGCCATTCTAACTCTTATACGTGGCCAGATTAGGCAAGACACTTTAATTTTCCAACATATGTGGCCAAGGAATAGTGCCATACTATATGTGGAAGAAATGTCTGATCGGACAATGGCTACTTGGCATGCTGATGTTCCTTTCATCCTTTGCCTAGTTCTCTTTGTGCTTGGACAGACACCATTACCAGTTAGAAGTTTTTGACAGGTTTTTATTCTGGGCAGAGTGAGTTTAAAGTGAAGGTTGTTTTTATAGAATCATATAGAGCTGGAAGGTACCTCCAGGATCATCTAGTCCAACCCCCTGCACAATGCAGGAAATTCACAAATACTTCCCCCCTTACCCCAGTAACCGCTGTTCCATGCCCAGAAGATGACAAAAAACCCTCCAGGATCTCCAGCCAAACTGGCCTGGAGAAAAATTGCTTCCTGACCCCAAAGTGGTGATTAGCATTTCCCTGGGCATTTAAGAAAGGGACACAAGAACTAAGCACTGATGCAACCCTTCCTGCCCTCCCTCTCATGAAGTTGTAAATATCAGTGAGAAGAGCCATAGTGGTTTCTTGCATTGTTTCTTGCTTCATGGTGAGTGCAAAGAAGGGTTGCTTTTCTCAGTCTGAGTGAACCAAATTGAATGAATAATTAGGCTTGGATTCACAAATATTTCAGATCCCAGATACCTAGTTCTATCCTGCTCCTTTCCAGCCCATAGCTTCACACAGTTTTATGCTTCTCCAGAACCACTATCTTTACTGTTTCTTAAAGGACCATGTGGTAGAAAAGTTTATAGTATTTATATTATTTAGATACAAAACAATAAACAATGCTATTAGGAGACCCACCTGGTGCATCATCTTACTATTTTGATACAAGTGTTCTACCATCCTAAAACCCTACACTAATATATCCTTACATGTGATGACCTTTCAGAACTGAGAAAAATATTTGTAGTAAACAGAAAGTAGATGAGCAAAGGACACAAGGACCTGGTATAAGTTTTGGTCATTTGCTATTTTAATTGTATATATAGCATGAATAGTGATCTGTTGTGAGGCTGCTATAGAGGTTAAGACTGGCAAATAATGTACTGGCACATAACAGGCCTGTCTCAAAGCATGTTTGAAGGTCTACAGGTTTCTAAAGTTGCCGTTCTATCAACCTTACCTATGCACCTGGACACAATAAGCCTTTCTTTTGAGCACATAGGATTGTCTGTTGAAGATGCAGGATACATTGATATGGTTCCTTTATTACTACAATATGATGCCACCTTAGCAGATTTTCCTTATGAGTTTCATAACCTAAAGTAAAGGTAAAGGTGAAAGTTTCCCTTGCTCGAAAGCCAGTCGAATCTGACTCTAGGGGGCGGTGCTCATCTCCATTTCCAAGCCGAAGAGCCAGTGTTATCTGAAGACATTTCTGTGGTCACGTGGCCGAGCATGACTACAGGCCAAGGCACACGGAACACTGATACCTTCCCACCGAAGCAGTATCTATTTATCTACTTGTAATTTCTTGCTTTCAAACTGCTATGTTGGCAGGAGCTGGGGCCAAAGATGAGAGCTCACTCCGTCACACAGCACTCGGGTCTCGAACTGCCTAGCTACAGACCTTCTGGTCTGCAGCTCAACGTCTTAACCTCTGAGCCACCTACAGCTTTCTAAATAAATATAAAGTGCATTTTTAAACATTTTAAACAGTGCTATATTAATTTGTTCAAAATTTTCCCTGTTCAGTGTAAACCAGTGGTACTCAGTGGCTTGCAGGAAGGCACATTCAAAATTACCATAAACCAAAAAGAGCCACATGACTATTGTATGCCCACTGTACCACCTCACCAAATGTGTGTGTGAATTCCAATCCGATCTAATTTATTACAGCAAGAGCCAGTAAAACAGTACAATTCTGATATAAGAAGGATTAAAACAGTAATAATGTAGGAATAGTATAAAAACATTAACAAGAGAAAATTAATAAAATTAGTTATATAATGTTAATAAGAGAATCATACGATTTTTTTCAGCTGAAATGTGTGTGTATTAAGTGCTATCAAGTCGCCTTCGACTTATGTCAACCCTATGAATTAATGTCCTCCAAAATGTCCTGTCGTTAACAGCCTTGCACAGGCCTTGCAAACTGAGGGCCCTCATGGCTTCCTTGATTGAGTCAATCCATCTCACACAGGGTCTTCCTCTTTTCCTGCTGCCTTCCACTTTTCCTAGCATTATTGTCTTTTCCAGTGACTCTTGTCTTCTCATAATATGACCAAAGTACAATGGCCTCAGTTTAGTCATTTTAGCTTCTAGGGAGAGTTCAGGCTTCATTTGATCTACAATCCCTTTATATGTCTTTTTTGGGAATCCACGGTATCCATAAAACTCTCCTCCAACACCACATTTCAAAGGAATCTACTTTCTTTCTGTAAATTTCTTCTTTGTCCAACTTTCACGCCCATACATAGGTATTACTATGGCATGAATTGTCTCGATCTTGGTTGCCAGCCACACATCCTTACACTTAGGGATCTTTTCTAGCTCCTTCATGGCTGCTATTCCCAGTCTCAATCTCCTTCTGGTTTCTTGGTTACAGACAGTCTTACTTTTGGTTGATGATGATGGAACCAAGGAATAGAAAATCTTGAACAATTTCTATTTCTTCACCGTCAACTTTAAAGTTGTGTAATTCCCCAGCAGGCATTACTTTTGTCTTCTTGATGTTCAACTGTAATCCTGCTTTGGCACTTTGTGCTTTAACACTCAAAAGTAGATGTTTCAAGTGTTCACTATTTTCTGCCAGTTATGTGGTGTCATCTGCTTATCTCAAATTGTTTAATGTTCCTTCCACCAGTTTTCACTCTAAATCTAATCCAGTTTTCCTTATGATATGTTCTGCATATAGACTGAAGATAAAACACATCCTTATTTGACACTTGCCAATTGGAAACCATTCAATTTCTCTATATTCTGTGCTACAGTAGCCTCTTGTCTTCAGAACAGGTATCAAAATAATCAGATGCCATGGAATGCTAATTTCTTTTAAAACCAACCATAGCTATTTATGATGCACACAGTCAAAAGCTTTGCTGTAATCTATGAAACACAAGATGAATTTCTCCAGAAATTCTCTCATATACTCCAGTGTTGTTCAGTCGCAGAGTCATGTCCAACTCTTTGCGACCCCATGGACCACATCACGCCAGGTCCTCCTGTCTTCTGTTATGCTCCGGAATTTGCTTAATTTCATGTTCGTTGCCTCGATAACACTGTCCAACCATCTCATCCTTTGCCGTCCCCGTCTTCTTTGACCTTCAATCTTTCCCAGCATCAGGGTCTTCTCCAGTGAGTGCTCCCTTCTCCTTTGGTGGCCAAAGTATTTGAGCTTCAGCTTCAGTATCTGGCCTTCCAGGGAACAGTCGGGGTTGATTTCTTTTAGGACTGACTGATTTGATCTCCTTGCAGTCCAGGGGACTCTTAAGAGTCTTCTCCAGCACCATAATTCAAAAGAATCTATTCTTCGGCGCTCGGCCTTCCTTATAGTCCAACTCTTTCAGCCATACAGTACTACTGGGAATACCATTGCTTTGACCATACGAACTTTTGTTGGCAGGGTGATGTCTCTATTTTTTTTTATGCTGTCAAGATTTGCCATTGCTTTCCTCCCCAGGAGCAGGCGTCTTTTAATTTCATGGCTGCAGTCACCATCTGCAGTGATCTTGGATCCTAGGAACATGAAGTCTGTCACTGCTTCCACGACTTCTCCTTCTATTTGCCAAGGAGTGATGGGGCCGGATGCCATGATCTTAGTTTTTTTGATGTTGAGTTTCAAGCCTTTGTGCTCTCCTCTTTTATCCTCAGCAAGAGGCTCTTTAGATCCTCTTCACATACTCCAATAACCAATGTAAATTTGCAATATGATCTCCCGTGCCTTTTCTGAATCCAGCTTGAGCATCTGACATTTCTTGTTTCATATATGTTAACAGTCTTTTTTGTATGATTTTGAGCATCACTGTACTTGTATGAGAAATTAATGAAATGGTCTGATAGTTGCTACAGTCTTTGATGTCTCTTTTTTCAGAATTGGAGTACAGATTGACCATTTCCAGTCTCTGGGCCATTGTTTTATTTTCCATATTTGTTGGCACAGTCGAATTAAGATTTTGATGGTTTCTGTTTCTGTGGCTTGGAATAGCTCTATCGGTATCCCATCTAATCCTTGCATTTTTTCCCCTCCCACTTGCTCTCAGTGCAGCTTTCAGTTCACTTTCTAAAACTGTAGGTTCTTCTTCTAAAGATTCTTCTTGGAAGGAAACTGTCATTCTTTCGACTCTTTGGTATGATTCTTCAGTGTATTGTTCCTACTTTTTATTTATTCAGTCTTGTTCATTTAATTATTTCCATGTTGCTCTCTTAGTCTCCTTTTTTGTAGTTCTCTTCTGTTTCTGTACACTGCCCATTATAAATAGTTCTCTTTGTTTTTATGTGAAAGTTGCTGGAACACTGCATTTAGGCATTTGATACTGTTTCTGTCACCTTTTACTTTTCCATCTTGGCTGTCTTTAGCAATTTTAAGAGCTTCATCAGTCATCCATTGAGGATTTTCATTTCTTTTGGCTACAGGAATAGTCTTTGCACATTCTTCCTTGATAATGTCTTTGTTTTCAACCCACAGTTCTGGTTCATGTTCACTTGAACTTAGTAATACAAATCTGTTCTTTACATGGTCTTAAAACTCTTCAGGAATCTTGCTTAGAATGTATTTTGGTACAATGAACGTTTTGCTGTTTTTCTTTGCCCACCAAATACATACAAGAATACAAGATATAACTATTAAATATATGACTATAACTTTGGCTGCATTTACATGATTTTTCCGAACTCTTTACTTCTATCCCTTGCACGGGGCCTACAGCTCATGCATCATCCAGTCTCTCTAGTAACTGTCTCAATGAATTAACTGAGAAAAAAGAGGAGGGGGGAAACTCAACCCAAGATATGGCTGTGATACATGAGGGTCAAGCTAACAAAATAAGTTATTATAAAAATAGAAATATTTATTATGATGTACACATTAGTAAAAGATAAAATAGGTTAAAAGAAATGATCCAAATATCAGACTCTTAAAACTTTTTACACACAGAGCTGAGTTTTACATATACAATTGATGGGTATATCTTATGACCAGTAGACCATACACGTTTCAGCCCCTCAGGGCCTTCCTCAGTGGTCAATATTACTATTGTAAAAAAACACATATCCAGAAAAAATAAAAGAAAAAAGATTTTCTTTAGAGCCAGGTGTTGCTTTCTCATGTGATGTGCAATTGGTAAAAGTTTAACAGTAGGCTATGGATAATCTCTCATTGTAACTGCACATGCTCTCCAAATTGTTCTGGTAACAAATATCCAATATGTCTGGATGTGTGTCTCTTCCATCAAAGGTAGTAATCAAGTTCAAGGAATGAATCACCTGCCAGTGACAAGCCCTACTGGGAACTGTCTTGCCCATTTTGCTGAAACATGAGACAGGTCCTGCAGTGGGGGATGGTGCTCAGAAGAGCCACAGGTACCATGTCAAAGACCCACATATGGCTCCAGAGCCAGTGAGTACATAAAAACATAAGAACATAAGATAAGCCAATATTGGATCAGGCCAATGGCCCATCTAGTCCAACACTCTGTCACACAGTGGCCAAAAATACCAGGTGCCATTAGGAGGTCCAGCAGTGGGGCCAGGGCACTAGAAGCCCTGGTCTAAAAAATATCACTGGTCTAAAAATGTTACCTGGAAACTGAATATTTTCCAACAAATCTAGGTACCTTTGCAGACAATTAATATCTTCAATTTTATTCTTTCTGGGTTAGATCCAGCTCAAGGACTATGTTTGGATTGCACAAGGATCACTTATATTCCTGGCTTCCCCAGCAACCATTTTCAACCCTGGGGTTGGAAATGACTGCTGAAGATACAGGAAAGCCAGGAAAAATGATTATCATCAGCATGTTTCACTAATGGATGGCAGGCTCTAATCCAGTGTTAAAAATATGCTAGGCCTAACCCAGCACTGGCAGTTGGAAATCCCTTCAGAACACAACAGATATGGGGATGGACAGTCTTCCGAAATAAATAAATAAATGAATGAAAGTACACATAGCAAAAAAAAAATAATGAAAGGTAGAGCATTGAATCAAAAGGGAAAGTCGCCATTGTCACTTCTGTCACTTAAAATTACCTTTGTGTGTTCTGTACATTTATTAGAGAGACCACCTGAAAAAGGACAGGATCTATCATTTTTGTCTCCATTTTTTTCAAATAGATTCAAAATTCATATGAAGGATTGCCTGGATACAAGAACATCCATGTTACTGAATTCAGGTATGAAGTTCTGTCAACACATGAGAATTCCTTAGTTTATTAGTTTAATCAAGATGTTCTGTACAAAGCTGCCCCTTTGTATCACTCTGCAGAATCAAGATAGATTTGCTAAGGTATTCACTAGCTCTGAGGACCACACTGTTGTAACATTGATGAATACAACTACAGTTATCCCATAGAGTTATCAACCTATGGAGGGGGCCTGCAGTTCTCCTGTAATTACAACTAATCTACAGACTACAGAGATCACTTCCCCTAGAGAAAATGTCCCCTTCTAGGTGAAATCCCTCCCCAAATTCCTCCCTTCACAGATATCACCCCTAAATCTCCAGTGATTGTAAGGGCCATGGCACATATTGTTTGTTTCCAAAATGGGGGGGGGATGATATGTCATTCAATACACATTCAATGACGTATCATCCCAAACACTAAAGTTCATCCAAAACACACAGTCTTTGAAACAGAGAAATTGGCCTCTATCTAAATTGTTTCTGTTTTCATTACAGTAACAGAGGTTCCTTACACAGATTCCCAGATACTTACATAGGTCACAATCCAGCATAGAGATAAATACTGAAATTATTGAAATTATTCTGAATTTATTCAATAATAACCATAATATAAAACACAGGCAAGATTAAATTTCCTGAGCATCAGATTAATGCTGTAGTAAAAATAATGAACATATACTGTGTTGTGTTACTTTACAATTAAATGACAATAGTCTTTTTAATTTACAGCAATATGAATCAATCTCTACACCCTTTATTAGCCCAAGGTCACATAACGAGCATCATGGTTGATTGGGGATTTGAACCTACATTTCTCCAGTTCATGTTTAGCATTCTTCCCATAAAAACTGATACATAAAATGTACTAAATATACCAGAATGCAGGTGTTGCCCCGTACAAAGGTTGTAAAATAAATATCTTTATTTGAATGGTATATTGTTAATTTTGGTAGAGCTGAGATGTACTACTTAACTGGGAAGCACCTTTTCTCATTTCATTTGTCATTTGAACTTTTCTTGTTCTCTCCCCCCTTAAATTTAGATCTCCTGAGGATGACAGGTAAAGGAAAACTTTCAGTATTTTTTTTCTTGTTCTGCTGATAGGTTATTAGTATGCTGCTAAAAGGCTCCAAGACAGCTGAGCCAATCTGTAGCAGCGAGATGTTGTGTAAATGCACTCCAGCAAAAGTCTAGTCAGATGTTGCTTCTGGATCTTGGGTCTAAAGATAAGGCTCCCCTAGTGGTCTACTCTAAAGCATCAGCTGTGTGGTCAAAAGTGTTCAAGGCTTACTATGACATCACAGACTGTGACAGTAAAGCATCCATGCCGATTGCAGTCAACTCATATGGTATGACAGTTCTGCAACTGACTTGTTTTCAAGTCATCAGAGGCCTTATTTCAGTAAACTGAAATAGGTGACCAATATTTATTGGCTTTGTGGACTTGGTTGCAAGATAAGCAGAGGAAGCCCACAACATAAAGACAAAGGAGAGATTCAGAAAGTGCAGGCACTTTGATAATACTAATAGACCACTGTCCTGATGGGGTCCTCTGCAAATGTTATTTTTATACTTGTAGACATCAATTTAAAAACGATTACAATATGGCCCCGTTCACACGCGAAAGTGTCGAGGGCGGATTATTCAGGCGCAATCACACCACCACATCTGGCAAGTGGAGCACACCCGCGGGTGACCCGTGGCTTCCTGCGGAAAACCCAAAGTTAAAAACTACCTGCTTTGATACACTATCTTCCGGTAAATGCGCGGTGCAGGCGGGCGTCTGATCGGAGACACACTGGTAGCCCATCGCATCTAGTAGCCGTCCGCGTTGGGCGCATGCGAACAAACGCGGTCCTGCTGTTTTCCAGCTGTGTTGCCTTGCTATCTGATCGGCTGCTGACGGCTGGAGGACGGAGCCACGGGGGAACGTGAGATCGCACTACCGCGCTTCTTTTTTTCTCTGCAGCAAAAAGCCTCCGTCCCCCTGTGGATTATCCGGCCAGTGTGACTGGGGCCTATAATAGTTTTTAAATTGATGTCTACAAGTATAAAAATTGCCATTGGCTATGCATTGAGGAAAAAAGTAAAGTAACTTTTGTTGTTATGATGAATCTAATTGAAAATCAGCAAAAAGGTTTATAGAATTTCTACTTCGGATAATTTTTAATACTACTGACACATTTTTAATTTGCCTTTCATTCAAGGAGTTTCTATTGCATAAATGGTTCTTCCCACCCCATTTTATACTCACAATAACTCTATAAGGTTGGTTGGGCTGACAAAGAGTAACTGGCCCAACATCCCACAGTGAGCATGGAAAAAGGGAGATTTGAATCCAGATCTTGCAAGTCCTAGTCTAGCCCTGGTCAGGTGCAGGGTGTTATATGCTACAGACCACAGCAGCTGTATGACAACTGAGCAAGGGAGGGTCTGATTTACTCCATGCATATTCTGAATCTCCACATGTTCATAAGAGTTGTTGTATTCCTTATCTGAGTGAAGGCTGCCTTTGCTTTTCCTTAGCAGAAAACATTTATGGGTGTGCAGATATCGGAAAGACTTTGTGCATGTGCAGAATGTTAGAACAAACACCTGAGTTGTTCATATGCCATAGCCACTATTTTTCCTTTTTCCATATTACTCCCACCATATAGATGCACGTTCTAAGTGCTGTTACGTATTGCTAGTGGGAACATGTTTCTGTATAATATTCTATTGAAAATGTCATCCTTAATCATTTGTTGAACATCAAATACTGTTTTATGACTACCAATAGCAGGTATATTGTTTGGGCCTCTGTCTCATAGTACTCTCTCAAACTTTTCAGCGGCGTGGAAGTTCTATACTCTGTGTTTTTTGATGGGGAAGCCATCAGCAATGCCACCTGGGACCTGATTAACCTTCAGTCCAACAAAGTGGAAGACAATGCCTTTATGGAAATTGAGGATAACCCAACTGTTGTTTACACTGTCAGTGACTTTAGACACTATATTGCGGAAATCCTTCATAAGAACGCTTTACTGGATAATGCCTCGCTGATCCTGGATCCTGACTCTCTCCAACTTATCAGTGGTGTGTATGACATAAGAAATATTGCACGTACTCCATTAACTTACCGGTGTTTGCTCTTAAAATAAGATGCTATCACCTACCCCCCACCCCCAGACGTTTATAGACAGTGATGCATGACTGGCTTTCTCTTTAAGACTTAATTAAAATGACACCAAAGCCAGCTTTTTTCTCTCTGTACCAGGCCTCATCTGTTTGCATTTATGACCAGCTGGGCTTTGCCTTCAGTCCACTGTATGCAGGAGTCAAGGGAACTGACCAAGCTAAACGCAGGATGCAAGAAGAGATTTATCCAGCAACCCTTAATGGCACTCCAGAGTCCAGACCTTTCTGGGGTACACTGCTGTGACTGCTTCCTCATAATGCCTCTTGTCCTCCTCCTAATGATGGAAGTGCCTCTTCTGGTGGTTCTTCCAACCTTGATAAAAGGTTCCAGAGTCCCAAAGAGTGCTGTAGAATTCCTTTCCTTCTTGGGACTGAGAGAGTGTTTTGCGTGTGCACATACTATAATAGTGTTTCAGAGGGCTTTTTACTGATGGTTGAAATGTTGTTGTCATATGTAGAACTGGTGTTTATAGGGGCAAATTTCTTAGTAGATTTTGATTGCTTTAATTGATTCTTTATGGCCCCGGTCACATGGGAGGCTATGATCCGCAAGAGGGACGGATTGGGGGCACATCAAGCGGGCTTGATCACACTGCAACATCTGGGAAGCGGCACACACCCGTCCCCAATCTTCCAGCCGAAGATGCGGATCAGAAAAACACTAGTACTTACCGAAAAATCCACTGCAGTGTGATCGCCGGCACGCCCATCTCTCCCGCAGGCGGCATGCCAGGACCTGCCGAACTGCGCATGCACGTGCATGCGTAGCGGGCTCGCCTCGCTCTGTGGTCCGTGGCTTCCCCCTGGCATCTGATCGTGCCGGGAAGGAACTGCGCGGCAGCTGGGGGGATCTGTCTGATCCCGCTGCCGCGCTTCTCTTTTGGTGCGGCTCAAAAAAGCCGCACTTTGGTTGCACCTATTTCCCCCAGTGTGACCAGGGCCATAGATATGTTTTTAAAGTGTGTTATTCTAAACCTCCTCAAGCTCCTGGCAAAGCAAGATATAAATGTTTTAAACAGAGGTCATTTCGGGGGGGAACGCGGGGGAACTCAGTTCCCCCGGGCGAGGTGCAGGGGGTGGGGCACATGATGAAGCCCCGCCCCCTGCCTCCGGCCGCCCCGCTTCCAGCCCTCATTCAGCCAGGAGGAGGCAGGAGAAGAGGGAGGGTAGGTTGCTTCCTCCCCGCCTCTCCCCTCCCCTGCCTGCCTGGGGCCAGAGAGGGCCTTGGCGGGGCTTCCTCGTACTCCCGCTGGCCTTGCAAGTCCACCGCCAGGCCCCTGATGTCAGGGGGTGTGGCATATGCTAATGAGTTATGCTAATGAGTTCCCCTAGCTCTTTTTCTACGAAATGACCCCTGGTTTTAAAAATATTTAAAATATCCTCCGGAGAAATTACAGTACACTTAAGGTGTAGGTCATACTCAGACTCTTTATTCTGAAAAGAACCTAATTCTGCAAGGAAGTAATGCATGTCCAATGCAAAAATACACAAATATGGCAAATGAATTCTGTGCCTGTGTGCAACAAGGAATACAGAATATTCATACTGCACTCTTCAAGTGAATTGTAGATGAAGAAAAGCAGGGCTTTTTTGTAGAAAAAGCCCAGCAGGAACTCATTAGCATAATAGGCCATAACCAACAGCAAGAACTCATTAGCATATCAGGCCACACCCATGACAGCACAGCTCATTAGTATATTAGGCCACACCCACGTGATACCATAAGTGTGATCATCCAACCACAACCACCTTTTGCTTCTTATTCTGTTTACCTTGTTTGTTGTCAAAACCCAGGGCTTTTTTTGGAGCAGGAACTCCTTTGCATGTTAGGCCACACACCCCTAATGTAGCCAATCCTAATGAGTTCCTGCTGTTGGGTGTGGCCTGTTATGATAATGAGTTCCTGCTGGGTGTGGCCAACTTGGGAGCCAGCCAGAACTCCGTTCCTGTGCGTTCCTGCCCCAAAATAGCCCTGAGTAGTAGTTTTTATACCCCACTTGTCTCTGCCTTAAGGAGTTTCAAAGCAGTTTACAATCTCCTTCCTTTCCTCGCCTTACAACAGGCACCTTGTGAGGTAGGTGAGACTGAGAGAACTGTGACTGGACCAAGGTCACCTAGCAGGCTTCATGTGGAGAAGTGGGGAATCACACCTGGTTCTCCAGATTAGAGTCCACCGCTCCTGTATTGGGGTTATGGTGCAAATTATGATGAGGGTTATGGTGTACACTCCTCTTATAGATTTTCTTTTCTCCCAATTCCATCATGTAGGACATAAACCAAATTTCTATGTTACTTCTAATATTTAATTACAAATTAATTTGTTTCTAAGTTTCATCATTTCTTCCTTGCCACTTGTCTTCACAGTAAAAGAAGTAATTTCTACAACAACTGAGGAACCATCTTTGACGACCACAAAGCCCACTGGTGATGTAAGTGAATTTCTGAATTATCTTGTTCTACCAGTTCTTGACCTTTCAGCTACTTACTGAATCATCTAAATAATGCAAAGATCTTTCAAATGCCCTCTCTTAAAATTCAAAATGTTCAGAAATCTTTCATTTAATTATAACTACTTGGTACAGTTCACAGTAATTTCAGGTAGTGTTTCTATCAGAACTTTTGGATATTTCTGTGAGGCAGGCATGATTAGCTTACTGAATATGCCTTTGACTGGCAGAAAGTGATGGAAAATAGTTTGTCTTTGCAGAGTAGCTTTTCTGTCCTATTATCCATATGGTGTGTGCAAGAAAATCAAAACTTGCCAACTTAATATTACACTTGTTAATGTAGTGTAGCATTCTGAGAACCTTTGAATAATGTTAGGTGCCATAGGAACATGTCTTTGCATTTAAATAAATGATGAAGTGCAATTCTTGGCAGCTACATAGAAGTGCTCCTAACGTTTCTACAGAAAAGCAATTGTTCCAGTCTTTACAAATATTTTACTACTTGTGTAAGTTTTCTCTGCCATTCACAGTATTAAGATTTTGTTCACTTTTTAAAAAACTTTCCTTCATTAATTAGTTTATTGGTTACATATCCCACCTTTCTTCTAGGAAGTACAAGGTGGTACACAAGGGGTTCCCAGCTGATTGTTAAATATTCTATTCTAGTTTCAAACTGAGAGATGGAGAAGGGTAGAATTGAGGACTTATTGTAGATCTTCTAAGTGCTTCAGTACAGTAAGAATGCAGCTAATGAACAAAATTCACACAGAATGAAGCCATTTTGTTTTAAAGCAGATACAAAAAGACAGTTCTGCTTAAGCTTTCCTCAGTGGATGCTTTTCTTCTCCAAACTGCCCCAGTTACTGTTTCTCTCATGCCTGCACCAGGTACCAGAACATGTTTTTGAGGGTCTATATGTGTCTGAAACCCCATGGGAAGGGAAAGCAGTTTTGGGGTACATCTCCACTCATAATGGCCCCTTTTCAAAGCTGCTAGTTTTAACAAAAGAGGCCAGTGGGGTTTTGTTGCCTATATTGCCTAGCCATGTGTAGTTTGTACTAAGATTATAGACTGCTGACAGTAGAAGGCAGTAAGGAATTTCTGCTTCCAGAGCTGAAGTAACATTCTCCATCTGTGGTCTTGGTGTCCATCCACCTCTTTTCTGGCCTATCCCATTCACATTCTTTCAACCACACTCTCCCAAATAGTAGTAACTGTTCTGATCTGAAGGCACGTACATATCTTAGGGTATTCACCACTGAGGAAAATCTACTGAGTGGTGACAAACCATGGCATGAAATCTGATTGTCTCCTGCAAAGATATAAAGAATTTTTTTATTTCCCTGCTTCCCCAAATTCCATAGAGAGAGAAATGGAACAAAGAACAAACTAGTATAGCTATGTCAGTGGTAGGAAGAGGAGTGCTTGCTGGGCCTTTGGAGACACACCAGGGCTATAGCCTCTGAAGCCTGCCTAGGGTAGTATGATGATACAACACCAACCAGATCAGTGAACATTTCGCAGACCAGTTCACACACAGCCTTGCTGTGTACACGTTATATGGTGAGAAATGGGAACAATCTTGGGTCTTGTATACTGTGATTTGTACAGTTTTTCATTCAGATACTACAGCTTGTAAACATCGAGGATTTTTCTTTTAGGATCGTGTTGTAATATCTGAATGGCCATCGGCAGATGAGTCAACTGTAAGCAACATCTTGCCACTTGATTTTACCAGACCGGGTTTTGTCTTTGATATTGAACAGTTCAGTGACAATGAAATCTGGTTAAGACCTGATGGCTTTCCAAGCCCTGAAAGCAACATCAGTTCAACAGCAAAAGGTACTGTCCATTAAAAAGGTGGAATTACCTTTCCCTCTGATAATCTGTTCTTTGTGGATGAAAAATAGAAACTAAAATTTTGTCACACTGCTTGTGTTAGACACAAACTCTTGTTGTGGACTTGGAAACTTTGTCTTTATTAGAAAGTGGTAAGTTATTTTGTGGGCTCCAGCTCTTATGGGGGGAGGGGGAGCCCCCGTTGGCTGCATATGGACCGTTATTAAAGAACCACACACACAACACTGAATTTGGAAAATATGTGGAGTAAATTGGCCACGGAATCCATGGAAGGGGGAAGCTCGGAATGGAGCTTCTGGGAGGGAGGGACGGTCCTGGGCAGCTGCGAGAACACCTGAAGGGGGTGGTGGTGGTGGCAGAAATTGGTAGGCGCACAGGGGGGCACCAGAAGGTGTCCTCACCTAGCGTGCAAAATACCTTGGGCTGGCCTTGCTCACATGAGCTCACACCAATGGGCCCGTGACACCTCACCTCCATCTCTTGGTTTTCGGGCGGGTTGTTGAACATGAGCTCCTCCGGTCAGTTGAGCTGCTGATGCTCCCTGAGCAAGGAGTTGATGACTACTGTCACCCACCGACGACTGCTGCACCTGCCTGCCCTTGCAGGAATGGGCCCAAGCAAAGGCCGCTGTCCATGCCCATTTGGCTTGTTGGCCCCTGCCCAGGTGGTTGACTTTCTCCATAAGCTGTTCAAAAGCTTCGACAAGGCCTAGAACCATTCTAGCCAACTTTTCCATATCCACGGTTCCATTTTGACCCCTCGCAATGGCCTTTTGCTTTGCTGAGTGGGTTGTCCCGATGTCTGGTGATCCTGCCACTTCCCCCGCTGACTGGCCTCTCCTCCACACTAAGCCGCCGGTTCCCTTGTCACTGCAGGCAGCTGGGCCTGGCTACTGGGTTCAGTTCGTCATGAGCTTTATGCCTACTCAGGAGGAACTAATAGAGAGATAATGAGGCTGTCCCATCCTGGAGTGAGTGCTTGGCCCCTGATGTAGTAGAGATGGGACTATAAAGATTTTGATTATTCATATTTCTCTGGTTTTTATAGATTTAGTCTTTAAGTAATATTTTATTAGGATGTTAGAAAGGCCTGTTATATAGAAGGCTTTCCTCTTGCTGGCATAAAGAGTTCTGTGTCGGCTGGCTGATCCCAAGGTGCGTGCCTGAAGCCACAGCAGTAGGCTGCCTCTGCGATCTCATGTGGCCGGTGATGCCTTGCGGAGCCCCCACCCCCAGCCCGGCTCCAGTGGAGCCTGGGGGAGTGGCAACCCAGGCAAGAACATGGATCGTCCCTTGTCACCGGGGTCAGTTGCACGTACCCAGCCACCAGTTGGGCAGAGGTGCCTAGATGCTGCAGCTGACCTTTCCCAGGCACCCCTCCCCAGCTGTGGCTGGAAAAGGGGGGCGGTGACCTGGGCATAGTGGTTCCTGGCATGGCTGCCCCCCCCAAGGATGTGCCTGTCCCAACCCGGAGCGCTCCAACATTACTGCCGCAACCCCCAGCTCGGCCCCCTGGCTGATGAAAACTCGGAGGCCAGCGGCACCCTGGACAAGCAGGCTGTGGTACACCCTGCAGAGCCCATCACTGAGCCATGGTCGAGATGTGTGCCAGAGGTGTGACCCCTCCCAGGAAAAAGAAAACTGTGCGGCACAAGCTAGGCAAACAAGCTCCTGAGACAATGGAGGTGAGGCGCTGCATCTGGGATCAAAAAGTCCCCCCACTCCAATTTCCATCGGTAACTAGGCCATGAGGTCCCCCCTACCATTACCTAGATCTGCAACCTGCGGCATAAGGGTGAGGGCGGATGGCAGGTGGCTGGCCTATTCCCCCTGCCTAGGCCCTCCCTTGGCCACCCCATTGCCCTGTTATTGGCCATGGGGAGAGGGGGAAATCTCAAGTTTCCCACTGCTCCACCATCCACCGCACCCCCGGGTGGCTCCCCCTGCAAAATTTGGGCCACGTTGAATTGGGCCCCTTTTGCTTGTCTTACTCCCAATGGATGATGGATGAGTGAAAACGTGAGGGAAAGGAATGGGAGAAATTTATCCTTAACCATCTCTGAGAGTCCTTTTGTTGTTTTACTATCGCTCCTAAATTCTGTACAGAATTAATGTTGCCTTGGATTTCATTAAATCAGATTCTCTAATTTATTATTATAGCATAAGTGTAATGGAAAAAGGAAAGGAGTCTGGTGAGAGCTACTTACCTACCCTCAAAGACCATTGAGCAATCTACCAGAATACAGTTCAAATGTAATGTTGAGCTTTTCATTTAAAGTTCGTTGGACTCAAACGGCCAATAAAACAAAACATTAGGTTGCTCAGGTAGATGGAATGTTAGTGGTGGTCAGTTGCCATGTCAGTTGCCATGTCAGTGCTAGATGTAGGTCTGGGAAACAAAATCAACTCAAATTGATGAGGTCCAGGGGGCCCTTTTGTATACCCTTCACTGAACAACTAGGGGCTCATTGTGTCTGGACAGTACCAAGGTGTGGGATACCTGCAAGCCTAATATCATTGGCTGAGACCCTTGGTGGACTGGTTCATATGACAGAGGTCACTGGTGATAGACAATGTTGGGGCTCTTGTGGGGAATCCAGCTGACTAATGTCTGGCCAGAGGAATGCTGATGTATCAAAGGATGAGGTGACCCTTCCTAACTATTTGATTAGTATTCTGGAAAACCTTACATGTAAGGGATATTTTTGAATGGCATGTTGGCTTATATTCTTGCAAATGTTGGTCATTAAACAGGTGTAAGGGACCTCAGACAGTTACTGACAGAGAGATTTCATTAGGGTGTGCTGGAGTTCTTATGGGAAACAGGCTGCTGCTTCTTGAAATCACCTTTGATTGCACATAGCCTGATCATGATTCTACAGTTTGGTATCAAATATTGCTTCTTTGTCTATCTCTGTCTATGCAGGGTCTGAGGATCTAGGGGCACTCCAAAATGTGGTTCCCAGTGTGGGGAGGGATGTCTTGGCATAACAATCCTTTTGATTAGTTTGGTTGCACATTTATGTTCCTTTTCAAGCTTTAAGGTATTATTTTTGAGATGGGGTGACAAGAACAGTATACAATCTTCCAAATGCAGCCATACCATAAATATAGGAATGAGATGCTATGACGAAATTTACTGGAAAAACCATATAATAATATGTGTGTGTGTGTGGGGGGGTTGGACTCAATCAAATAAAATTCAGTAAACAAAGCTTGAAACAAATATTTACCTTTGCATTGGTTTGTTTTATAGTGCTTGAGGATACTAAGAAGCCAGAGGATTTACCTCTGAGTCCTACTCCTCACCTTGTGCCAAAAGAAATCCCTTCTACAAGCGAGTCTCTGATTCCTCTCACTCCAATACCATCAGCCACAGAACCTGAGGAAGTGATTACAAGTTATGTAGAAGAGGGCATTCTGCAACCTGACATATATACAGATGCATATGACTCTAGCTCAGGGCAGGAACCACAATCAAGTGCATGGCCTTGGGATAAAGCTACATTGGAGCCAGAGGGATCAGGTGTATATGATTATAAGGATGTATGGGTTTCCTATACATCTGAGACCGTACCAATGGAAGTCATTTCCCTGTCACCTTTTGAGTCCTCCATAGAAAGCGTTCTTGCAACATCTACTGAGATGTTCAGCATAACACCACTGGAGGATTTCACTGAGGACCATCAAATCACCTCTAAACCAACAGGAAGCCAAACCCCCAAAGCAACAGAGCAGTCATCAACACACTATCCACTTGAGCCTGTTACAACAAGAGAGCCCAAGATCACCTCTCTGTGGACCAGACCTGTGAAACCAGAAGTAATTTTAACAGTGACTCCTGTGGAACATCCAGTGACTGATGCTTTTCCTGTGGAAGAGCCTGATTTAGAGTCAGTATCCCAAGAGGCCTTTAGAACAGTTGTTCTGAAATCTACTGTTATTCCTCCTGCTGATAGTGCCACTCATAAAGCCACAGAGGAAGTTACAAGTTTTGAAGTTTTTACCATAGTTCCTGGTTCAGAGGATTTCACTGGAGTGGTCAGCACTTATATTCCTCCTAGTACAGTGAGCTCTGCTATTGATGTCCTCTCTGACATGCCTGCTGCACAGCCAACAGAATTCCACACAGCAGTGATCCCAACCAAATTGGAAGAAGACTTGGTAACAAAAGAACACGAAGTAACAGACCAAGACTATTTAGGCACAATATATTATTCCCCTGAAATGAAGGAAGGAAGAAGGATGACTGACAGTCACATGGAGCTGTCTACAAGTGCCCGTTCCACAGAGATGGCCAGTGTAGCTTGGGCTACTCATGAAGATCACAGTGCTACTGTCCCTGCACGAGCTTTAGTGGTATTCTTTAGCCTTCGAGTTACCAATATGATGTTTTCAGAGGACTTGTTTAATAAAAATTCCCCTGAATATAAAGCCCTGGAACAACGGTTCTTAGAACTGGTAAGAAATATTTGATCATCTAATTTTATTGTTTGCTGTTACATCTGAGAAACACAGTGAAATTCCAAACTTAATGGAATTTTGATTTTACAAGACAGATTACAAGTCTAATGTTTGTCTGCTAGGTTAATTTGTATTTTAATCTGTTGTGACTGTTCACATTCAAAAAATTTGATTCAGTGATCTATATTTATCAAAGGAAAAGGAAAAACTTTAAGCACTAATGGAAAAGTATACTTCTTATATCCATTTAAACCACAGTGGATGGCAGGCATTATTCCTTTGCCAATAACAACAACAACAACAACAACAACAACAATTTAATTGTTATAAAAACAATGGTCAAGTTAGCACACTTTGTCTAAAACCTGTGGACAGTACAAAGCAGGAGTTTTCCATTTCCCCCTTCTACTGCAACCCCCTGAAGTCCCTGCAGTTTTGTTTCTGGGGATCAGAAGACCCTGGGAACAGAATGGGGAGGAATGGAGGGGCCAAAATGGGGGGCAAAGAGGGAATTGGCAGACATCACCACTCTTACATTCAGAGCCAAGCCTGGGGCTGTTGCTCTACCCAGGGCTGGCCCATCATTGACAAATTTTAGACTATTGCCTAGGACACCAGCTCGATGAGGGCGCCACTCTGGTCTGCCTGCCACTCCACCTTCCCCATTAGGCTCTGGGCTGCGTGTCCCGCTGGTGGGCTCCCTTTCCCTCAGCCGGCCTCATCCCCTCCTTACCCTGTACAGGAAGTGAAGCACCCCAGGGCATACCTCCCTTGCCGGCAGGAGTGCCTCCCCCCACCGCAATTCAGCAGCACCATTCAGGGAGGCAAAGAAATGCACACCTCCCTTGCCAGCCAGAGTGCCTCCCCCCACCACAATTCAGCAGCACTATTCAGGGAGGCAAAGAAATGCACCCCCTGTCACCATAACCCCGGGCCCCTGGGGAGCCTCTGGCCGTCACCCTAACTCCAGGCCCCTGAGACTCTGGCCAACTTTGGCTCCTCTCCAGGGAATGCAAAAGGGAGGGGGAGGTTTCCCACGAGGTCTGAAGTGGCTTTTCCTCACCGAAGGCAGAAGAGTCACAAAGGCTTCCCGACGAGGTGGGGGGGGTGCACCGTGCAGCTTTCCCAAAGCCACAAGAGAGCCATCCTCACTGCGGTCTGCTCTATTCCATGCCCTGCCCAAAGGGGCTGACAGTGTCGCCCTGCAAGACCCTGATGGGGCTGAGATTGGCACTGGGGGGGAGGGGACTAGAAACTGGCCAGCTGCTGCTTGCACATCCAAGTGCTGTCTGGGAGGCCCAGAGCATGTGTGTGTGTGGGGGGGGGAGAAGTGACCCTCGGGGCACAGGAGCCAACTGGGATCTATTCAGGGGCATCTTGGTGGCTGCTGCAGGAACACACCAGAAGGTAGCCTTGCCTACTGTACAAAAAAACCTGGAGCCAGCCCTGGCTCTACCCAGGGTTTCCAGAATACACAAATACAGTAACAATAAGCACAACAAAAGATACAGACGCAAGGTCTACAAACCAGTCTGGAATCAGAGATCAAAGATCCAGTCCAAGAGTCAGGGTAAGGAGGGTTGAAGATTCAAGGTACCAGTTCCAGGGCTGGGAAACAGGTGCAGAAAGCAGATCCCACACTATAGGAGCAAGTACAAGTTACCAGCAACAAGGTACAAGACAGCAAGTCAGGGCAGAGCTCTGTTTGCTAAACAGGTCAGCTTCACAGAAGTGTAGCGAACAAGATTGCTTCCACATCAAGCCTTGCTGAGAGTGTACCTTTTATCTGCCTCCTTTGCTGACTCATCCCTCAAGGCCCAGGTGTCACTCATTACAGCTGCATTCACCCTCCTGGTGCAGGTCTTTACTGTTTCTCTCTATCAGCCTGTCAGTCCTAGTCCTGCAAGGACTCCTGGAATTAACATTAATAATTGCTGAGCAATTAGAGGAGTGCTTTATCTTCTCTCTAGAGCTGTCAAGCATTCTGTCCTCCTTCTATGCTCTGCTGGTTCAGGAGAGGCTGGTGGATATGGAGACACCAGCCTCTGTCGCATCTCTTTCTTCACCTGGAAGACTGAGCAGCCTGGCCCTGACTGAGAAGTGTTCTCACTTCCTGATGCTTCCCCTGTTGGAAGACTGAGCAGCCTGGCTCTGACTGGGAAGTGTTCTCACTTCCTGATACTTCCCCTGTTGGGTCTGCTGTTGCACCCAGCTGCTCAGGCAGGGATTCCATCAGTGTGGGGCCTGATTTTTCCAATTCCAAGGAGGAGGTGGCAGCTGGCTGGCCCATGACAACCACCCCTCTTCCATGAATGAGAATGTTGTTATGTGGTTGGCTACAGGCCCAAATCTACTCTTAGTGTGAATTCAGATGAATGTTTCCCCCTCAAAGTGCATTAACTTTTGCAGACAACATGCATTATCAGTCAAATGGAACTAATTTTTGATTGGTTAACATGATATGAAAATGTAACATTTAAGTACATTTTGGAAAATGGCCAGCTGAATTCATATCTTGAGTTTAAGCACATGGTTGATTTAGAATATATACATGTTGAAAAAAAATATAACCACAGCATTTATGTATGATTTCTCTTGTTCTGTAGCTGGTTCCTTATCTACAGTCCAATTTAACGGGCTTCCAGAATCTGGAAATTCTGAACTTCAGAAATGGCAGCATTGTGGTGAACAGTCGAATGAAGTTCATGAGACCTGTACCTCGCAATGTCACTAATGCTGTGTACATGATTCTGGAGGACTTTTGCAACACTGCGTACCAGACCATGAACCTGGCCATTGACAAGTACTCCCTTGATGTGGAATCAGGTATTACAAAGACATGTATTGTTGCTTGGTCAGTAAGCTTGTCTAAGCTGTAACATTTTAGCTAGTTTCAAAGGGAGCTATGTTGGGCTACATCAGAACAGCTAGATTTGAGTGCAGTAGCAGCTTAGAGAGCAACAATAGTTTCAGGGTATAAACTTTCGAGAGACATTGCTTTCTTTGTAAGGTATTTAATGAAGTCATCTCTGACAAAGGGAGTGTTGACTCTCAAAAGCTTATACTTCAGAAATATTTTTGGTCTGTAAAATGCCTTTGGACTCAAATCTAGCTATACAATTTTAGACATATTCATTGACTTAGCCCTGACCTGGATAGCCAAGGCAAGCCCGATCTCATCAGATCTTGGAAGCTAAGCAGGGTCAACTCTGGCAAATACGTGGATGGGAGACCTCCTTGGAATACCAGCAGTTGGGAGGTGGGGCAGGCTTTATTCAGCCACCTCTCTGAATATCTTCCAGGCCTCCGGTAGGGGTCAGTCACCAGAGGTCGCCATGACTTCCAGGTGTGCACACACACGGACGAAAAATACGACAAATAGATTTATTCACTGACTTCATTTATACCCCACTTTTCTCCCCAATGGAGAGCCAAAGTCGTTTATAACATTCTTCCATCCCCCATTTTGTCCTCACAGCAGCCCTATGAGTTAGATAAGGCTGAGAGTGACTGGCTCAGCGTCACCTAGTGAGCTTCCATGGCAGCATGGGAAACTGAATGGATCTCAGATCCTAGTCTAGTCCTCTAACCATTACACCATGCTGCTGGTGGGGGCTTAAATGATGATGATGATAAATAAATAAAACATTTTCATTTCTTCTGTCCAGCCAATTATGGCCATCGGGGTGGAAAACTGTTCAAAAGACATTAAAGACCACACACACACACACACATGGTCTTTAATGTCTTTTGAACATATATACACACACACACACACACACATATATATATATATATGTGTGTGTGTCTTTTAAGAGAATGCCAAAAAAATATATGGGTACTCTCCTTTTGCCTATTTATTGTCCATTAAAACCATGGTTTCATCTCTCAGATTTTAGGGAGATCTTGCAAAATAGGCATTATGTCCCATGGTATGAGGCTGGTCTTGTTTGGCTTATAGACATCAAGGATGAAGGGAGATTCATGAAACTCTTGGAACAGAATGATTTTTTTCCTGGAAAAAATAACCTTACTTCAATTCTTACATGCTATTCAGTCTGTTTTAATAATGAACAATGTCTTCAGGTCACTGAATAAATCTGAAGATAATGTGGTTGAATGCTCCTCTATACCGTTTTCCTTCCACAGAAAATATGTCAAGAAGACAAGTTCCAGCCTAGCTTCTCTGTCCTTCCAATTTTCGATGTGACCTTTCTTTTTTGTAGTATTAAAGTACTTGATCATGTAATTTCAAATCTGTACTAAGGTGACAAAGACCACTTCAATGAAAACTTGGTACATATAACATCTGCCTCATCAAATCTGAGGAAGGCTACCTGCTTGTCTTATTTAGTAGTAGTAATAGCAGCATCTATACCATGCTCTGTGAACATTCTAAGTACTTTACATGTGTTGTCTCAGTGATACTTTACAACAACCCTTTAAGGTATTGGCATGTATCCAATCACCCATTTACTTTACAGGGTAACACTTTCCCATTTCTGCCACATTCTGCAGGCCAATGAGCTCAACCAAATATAGTTCCTAGGAAACTGGATCCTCAGAAATAGCACAGGGAGCAAACATAGGACAGAATAAGTGGAAATCACTAAATGCCACCAAGTCTAGAGAACTTGACAGATAGATGCTCTTCTCTCCACAGTGCAGATAGGGGAGTGGAGACAGATATAATAATAGCTTGTCTAAGGGCGCATAATAAACTCATATCTGAGGGGAGTTTTGAATTGGCAGCTCTGAACTTTTTTGGGTTTCCCAACCTGTCATAGAAATTAATCATCATTAATGATGTTCATCAGAATGTTCTCCAAATTCTGTTTCATTGTTATTTTGGTTTCTGCCTGCAGTCTCTGTGAGAAAGGCAGACTATAAATGAAGTGCATACATAAATTCTTGCTATACAGGTGATGCATAGACTTGGGCTTGGTTCAGGCATAATGGAACAAAATAGTTTGTTTGTAAAACCTTGGTTTTACTCTCAAGATGTTTACTGAAATCCTGGTTTACCTGTTGGCTTCTTTGTGGGGGAGTGCACAAAAGTGTTTCCTGGGAACAAGCCAGGATGTCTTCATTCATATGTCATACAAAACCATAGTTAAACAAAACCATGGGGATAATAAACCAAAATTTTTCATTTCAGATCCTGGTTTGATTGACCATAATTAACCATAACATTCAGACAATCAAGTAAAACATGGTTTCATGTGATGTCTGAACAAAGCTTAGTGGGAGTAGAGAGAAAAAGAAGACGACATTGGATTTATACCCTGCCCTTCTCTCAGAGTGGCTTACAAACTCCTTTCCCTTTCCCTCCTCACAACAGACACCCTGTGAGGTAGGTAGGGCTGAGAGAGGTCTTTCCAGAACTGTCTTTGAGAGAACAGCTAACAGAACTATGGCCTGAGTCTCTCTAGCAAGCCAAAAATGTGACTAAGGTAAACTGTAGCAGGTACTGTCCAGTTTGTATCCTCTTTTTGTCTCTGTTTTCAGGAGATCAAGCTGATCCTTGCAAGTTCCAGGCATGCAATGAGTTTTCTGAATGCTTAGTGAACCAGTGGAGCGGGGAAGCTGAGTGTGTCTGTTATCCTGGCTATCTAAGCATTGATGGATTGCCTTGTATTAGCATTTGTGATCTCCAGCCTGACTTTTGTCAAAATGATGGGAAATGTGACATAATCCCAGGGCAAGGGGCAATATGTAGGTAAGTGAAATTTGTCTCAGCTTTTCAAATGCAGAAATCACACACATTGTTCTCCTGGGGTCATCTTTATCGAAGTATAGTAGGTACCTTTGATAAAGAATGGAAACTGACAAGATTTAGGAAACTGATCGTTCAAAACTCCCATATATCAACAAAGAAATAAATAGAAGAGACAATTAATTTCACCTCTTTTTAAATATTATCAGTTTAAAACTGGATTAAATGTAAAATTAACAAACCTCCATTGAGAAACAAAACTAAATTTGAAAAGACTCTTAATGAAGGTATGCTGTTCATATTTTATGGTATCTTCAAAACTTAACAATGAAGCCAAAATTCTAATCCCAAAGAGTTTAAAGTAAACTTTATTGGTTTTAGATTTCAGGTGGGTGGCCATGTTGGTCTGAAGCAATAGAAAAAAGTTTGAGTCCAGTGGCACCTTTAAGACCAACAAAGTTTAATTCTGGGTATAAGTTTTCATGTGCATGCAGGCACTTCTGAAGAAGGGGTGGGGTTTTGGGGTGTCAGGCTGGTGTGGAGGAACCTCTCGTTGCTTCTGGAGCGGCTGCTGCTCATAATGATTTTGTGTAAGCCGCCCTGAGCCAGCCTTGGCTGGGAGGGCGGGGTAAAAAATCAATCAATCAATAAATGTGCATGCACATGAAACCTTATAGCCAGAATTAAAATTTGTTGGTCTTAAAGGTGATACTGGACTCAGACTTCGTTGTATTGGTTTTAGTGGTACTTATGAGTAAAAATATATAAGATTGGGCTAGAAGTAATATGAACACAGGGTGTTCACCAAAATGTTGGAGATACGGAGGTCAGAAGGCAGTTCTTTGGTGAACATTCCTCAGAAACAAATTATACAGAAAATTAACGAGAAAATGGCCCTTAATCAGATTATACATGGGTGCTGAGAAACTGTAAGGAAATTAGGTCTTTTCAAGGTTGTTGATTGCCCAGCTTTGGAGGAGATCTGGTAATATCCTGCACAGTATTATATTGACAATTTTGTGTTCTCTAAAAACATCTATACATATCAAGATGCAGAAATGTAAAGATCAATAATAAGAACATAGATTCCCCCCCCCCTAGATTTTGATAAGAAATATAATGAGCATACATCTCACTTGGACTAAAGTAGAACCTCACTGGGGTTACAGAATCCCTCTTATGTTTTAGTGCTTTTAAGAATGAATGTATACTGGTTTAATAATAGTAATTGTATGTTTGACTTTTCTTTTTTCCTTTAAGTGTGCTGGTTAAGTGATGTTACAACTGGAATTTTCTTTGTTTAACTAATATTGTAATAATATACTTGTGTAATAGATGATTTTTTTAAAAAAATTCTGATTTAACTGTTTTAAATTGAATATGAACTCTTTCTAGGGTTTACTAAACCGCTGTTACGTCTTGTATAATAAAACTCTTCTCTTTCTATCCTTCAAGAAATTCTAAGAATGTACGTACCTGTATTGCTTTTTGAAATGAACTGTCTTCTAATTCTAATAATTCTAATGATTTTCTAGTGTCATTAACTGTATTGTATTGTTAGTAATAAATATAAAAAATAAAATTAAAAAAATCAATCACATGCATTGGTCTCCCTATGTTATACTGTTTTTTTTCCAATAACCACAATAGGTCCTCAAAATATGAACAAGGCCAACTTCAGAGAGAAGCCTCCCTCCATTCATAGTGCCACTCACACATTGTTTTTAAGCCTCTGTGCTAGCTCCCTGTATTTCAGTTATGACTGCACAATGCCTTTGTGTTTCACTCACCTGCTGTCTTACCTTGGTGAAGATTTAACGTAAGCTTATAATTTGAGGTTGATAACAGAATGACTTTCCTTTGTTTTTCTTTATCATTGCCCTTTTGATGGGGGTGGATGACAGATGCCGTGTAGGTGAGAACTGGTGGTACAGAGGAGAGCACTGTGAAGAGTATGTCTCGGAACCACTTGTTGTGGGTATTGCAATTGCTTCCGTAGCTGGCTTTCTTCTCGTAGCATCTGCTGTTATTTTCTTCCTGGCCAGGACCCTTCGAGATCAGTATACAAAGAGTGAAATGGAGGACACGTTAGGGTAAGGCTCTATTGGATAGTATTTCATTCTTTAAGCAAGATGGGTATTGAAAGGAGACAAAGGAACAGGCAGGTGGGCAGTGTAGGAGAGCATAAACATATGGCCAGTGGGCAAAAATGACTTTTTAAATATATGATCCCTGGTTGGCTCCTAGTTAGGGCTAAATGACAAGAAAAATCTAATGGAATCCTAGTGTGTAAATAGAAATAAACAAATGGGGGACCCACAAAGACTTGCAAGGAGGATCTCATTTCCCCCTCCGTTACTACATCTTTTTTCCCTTTCCTGAAAGCCCCCATAGCCTCTCCCCCTTTCCTGCTTTCTTTTCTCCTTTCCACCCACCAGCCAACTAACCTTTCTCTACCCCCTGTCTTCAGCTTTCCTTTCTTCCCTTCTTGGCAGCCTCACCTCAGGAAAACTATGGCCCAGTGGCATGGTGCAAACTGACTTGGGCCCATTTACACTACAGGGCACCTGCAATGACTTGTGGGGGACACCTTACTTTGTCCTGCACCCCTTTTCCATATTGCTTCCTTTCCCCCTCATCCTAGAAACTCCTATATCTTCACCTTTGCTCACTTCCTTCTCTCCTTCCCACCCATCCTTTTGTCTGCCTTTCATCTGCCTGCCATCTTGTTTATTTACTTCATTTATATATAGGACTTTCTCCGCAATGGAGTCCTAATGCATCTTACACCATTCTCCTCTCTTCCATTTTATCCTCACAATGACCCTGTGAGGTAGGTTAGTCTGAGAATGTGTAAGTGGCCCTAAGTCACTCTGTGAGTTTCCACAGAGGAATGGGGATTCAAGGTCCCAGTCTGAAATTCTATGACTACACTGTAATGGTGTTCATAGGGTGGCTGCTGTTGAACTGTAGCAAGCAGCCAGGCCTGCATGAGTCATACAATTCAGGTGGTATCAAATTGTCTTGTGGTTGCTGCCAGGCCTGGCCCCAGTGAGTTCTCCCTCAGAGTCCAAAATAGCCTTGGAAAGGGCCATGCCCCCTCCCCCTGCCTCTTACTGACAGAAACCAAACAAAAATCAACCCCGGAATGCTGGCCAACTGTTGTTGTTGCCAGCAGAAGCCACTGAACACATCTATTTGTTAAAGCTACAAGTACTGCTTTTATTGATTTTGGGTTTTTATCCCCTCCCTGTATTTTGTTTATATTTCAGATTTTTATGCAAACCTGAGGCATTTTCCAGGTTTGTTGAAAGATCCATCTTGTTCATTCACCCCTCCAATCTCTGGATTTAAGTATCCTCAGCTGGGGAGATGTGTTGCTACTAGAATATACAAGCGGGAACCCACATGGACTTGCAGGGGGGCATCTCATTTCCCCCTCCCCCACTATTTCTCCTTTCCTTTCCCTAAAATCCCCTATAGTTTCTCTCCTTTCTCTTCTTCTTTCTCTCCATCTTTCCTTCCCACCCAACAGCCAGTATACCTTTACTGCCCCTCTGTCTTCAGCTCACCCCTCGACACATCTAGCTAGGAAAACTGCGGCCCAGTTGTGCAGTGTCATCTGCTGGACCAGATCCACTTGCATGTTAGAGAATAGGGATGGACATGAACTGGGAAAATATGGTTTGTGTTCATGGCTGAATCACGAACCAAACTGGGTGGTTCATTTGTGAACCAAACCAGTTCTTGGTTTGTGACCCCACAAACCCAATTGAAAGAAACTGCAGCAATGCTCCCTCTAAGCTGTGGAGTCTTGTGAGCAAATATTCTTACTTTGTGAGTTATTGGCATTAAAGTTGTGAGCGAACGATCTGGCTACTGCAGAAATTAGTTTTCTCTGGAGCCATCATTCTTGAGCTAAGACAAAAATGAGTGAACCGGAGGCTAAAAAACTGTAAGCTAGCTCACACTAACTCAGCTCAGAGGGAATATTGAACTGCAGTCACTTTAAAAAGGGTTTTCAGAAAGCCTGAAAAACAGCTGAGTGATGGGGAGTGACTTGCTCCATTCTGCTCAGCTGTTTCAGGATGTCTTGTGCAGTCCCTTTAATGTTTAAAGGGATTGAATAAGTCAGCCTGAAACAGCTGAACAGTTGGGAGCACCCCTTGCCACTCAACTGTTTTTTGGCTGTCTTTTACAGTCTCTTTAAAATTTAAATGGACTGCACGAGACAGCCCAAAATAGTTGAGTGATGGGGAGCACCTCCCTGCCGCTCAGCTGTTTTTGCGGCTTTCACGGGGAACAGAAGGGAGCTCTGAGTCCCTTTAAATCCCTGTTTTCTGGTCTGTCCAGGAACCACCACAAAGAGCCACAAACTGCTTTAAAGGTACATGGAAGTTCCTGACAATAGACACATCATGTACTTCTGTTCACAAACCACAGTCAGGGCAAAATTGTGACAAATTTTGCTTAGTGGTTTGGTTCATGCCCATTTCTAGTAGGGAACCCTCCAAATTTTCCTGCCTCATTCTCTCCATCTCAATCATTCACCAATCTACTTTTTGCCTCCCACCTTCATCTATATTTATTATTATTTACCCCATTTATATCCCACCTTTTCCACAATAGGAACCAAAGCAGCTTACATCATTCTCCTCTCCTCCTTTTTATCCTCACAACAACCCTGCGAGGTCATTCAGGCTGAAAGTATGTGATTGGCACAACATCACCTAGTGAGCTTCCCTGGCAGACTGGTGTTTTGAACCTGGGTCTCCCAGACCCAGCTCTAAAGCTCTAACTGCTACACTACACTGGCTTAAATACTGGCTTAAATACTGCTATACCACATTGGCTTAAATGATGTTCACAGCTCCAGTCACTGAATTTAAGTTTCCTAGGATTTGGCTGACTTTGCTATTAGAATATATGATGATATCTTGCTGAGTGTGGGTGGCCTGAGGGATGGAAATGTTAAAGCTGTTGGCTGAGGAGGAGGTAGTTAAAAAATAGGGCAACACTTCCTATACATCAGATGTCCGATGGGATTTGCTAGCTTCCTCAAAAGTTACAAAGCCAACTCTGACCCTCATAGGGCTTGTAAACAGGGCAGAAGGCCAGAGGCATCTTGAGCAGCTCTATTGAAGAGACCACATGGGCTCTAGCAAGGTCATTGAGGGCTGCACTGGCCCACCTGTTACAAGGATTGCTCTACCCACCCACCATAACACTCTTCATGATTTATTATAAGTTCCAGCTTGTAAAGGCGTTATGATTAGCATCTCCAAAGAACCCTAAACTGAAGCCTTGTAGTGTGGAGAAGGATTTATCTCCCAGGTTGTTGTCTGGAGTGCCAGACTACTTTAGGGTTAAGTAAACTTGGGAAGTATTTTGCAACAATAGGAATGTACTACTTGCCATTTGCACATTTCTACTTTCCTTATAGGCAAGGGGACAGCCTCTCATCCATCGAAAATGCAGTGAAATACAACCCAATGTATGAGAGTGATGCTACAGGAAACAATCCGTACTGTAAGAGATATCCACAGCTTACTTCTTACAGCTCTACCAGTAATGAGACATCCACTGAGTACAGCAGTGAGGAGATCAGGCACATTTATGAAAACAGTGAGCTCACTAAACAGGTACTTGTTTTTATTTTCACCCTGTCCTATTTCAGGGGCTTGATTGTAGTCCTTTAAACACAAATGATATAATCATAAACCCCGTTATACCCTCCAAGTCCATTGAAGCCAATGGGCTTAGAAGAGTGTAACTCTGTGTAGGAACTGACGTCTTGTGATGTTGATGAAATTTCCCCCACCTCCCTAAATGCTCCCACTGGGCTGTGAGCTATGGCTAGCAACCCGAATGCCACCTCTTCAGACCTGCTTGAGGTGGCTTACAACTAAAACAATAAAACAAAACCAACCAAGGCTGGTTCTGCATCTGACATTCGCTCCACATTTTCTCAATACTGAGGAAAAAGTACAGCTCAAAACCACATTCAAATACCCTAGGCCAACGCTGTACTGACTGCAAAGTCACCCCTGAACTGCCATAGAACAGCCATAAATCTATGCAAAAGGTACCATAAAACCCGATGATCAAAAGAAAGTGAAAGTGGCATACAGTGTAGAGGGTACCATAAAATCCGATGGTCAAAGAAAGTGAAAGTAGCATGCAATGTAGAGGGGGATTTCTGTTCCAACATGGGTTTGCTGAAACAACGGAGGGAAAAGCCAATGCAGAATCAACCCAAGACAATAAAAACAAGTCAATAAAATAATTGAATACAACAAGCCAAGCTAGTAGTATAAATACATAAAAGCAAATCAGTAAAAAGGTACTAATAAAACCAAGCCAATTAAAAAAGGCAGGGCACATAAGCACAAAAAGCAAATAGAGCACTCTAAAATGATATTAAACTGTCCTCATGCTAGGAGCAGACTATAAAAGAGCTAAAAAGAACCCCTTAATTTAAAGCCCAGATAAAGAGGGGTTCCATGATGAACTGAAGGGGGGGTACAGTGTGATCTAGGGGTTTCATCCTATGATATTGTTCCCCTCTTGAGCAGTTCTCTCCAGCCACTGCAGAGGCTTTCCTCTGCTGAGGTGCTTCCTTCCTCTTAACACTAACTTCCATGTGCATAAAAACACCTTGAAAAACATTGATCTTATGAACATGGAACTGCTAGCAGAAGTACTGAATGCTCATTCGTTTTTTGGGAGGGAGGGAAACACAACGAGGCATTTTGAGACATGATAAACTATTTTCGGGGGGGGGACACCCTCACCTACCTTCTTTTCTACTGCTCTTTTGCTACCACTTTTTTTTTTTAATGAGTTGTCATTTTCTTAAGAAAGATCATTCCAGCCAACTGGGGATCTGGTAGTGAGCATGAAGAACATAAGAACATAAGAAAAGCTAACGTTGGATCGGGCCAAAGGCCCATCCAGTCCAACACTCTGTCACACAATGGCCAAAAACACGAGGTGCCATCAGGAGGTCCACCAGTGGGGCCAGGACATTAGAAGTCCTCCCACTATTGCCCCCCCAGCACCAAGAATACAGAGCATCACTTGCCCCAGACTGAGAATTCCTATGGACCTCTGCTCCATATGTTTATTGCTGTGCTGCAAATAATATTTGCCTGTGTGGTTGTGTCATTCATACAGCCAACTGAGGGCAAGGGCAGTGTTTCTTAGATCAGCATACCACTTGCCCAGAATGGGCCAAATGCTTTTGTGCCCTTTTAGGACAACCTCCCAAAAATGCTGAAATGGGGTGAAAAGTAGCTTTTACAAAAAAAAGAAGAGATCCCCCTTTTGACAGCCATAACCAGAACTATTTTATGAAAGATAGTCTTTCAGGTTGTCCAAAGGCATAGAGCTTTTGGAGGCCATTTTACAATTTTATAACTATAGAAGCAGAGAGGTGAAAGGGCTGATAAAGATACATCTGGAGTGGTAGGAGACTGGAGCAGATGACTTGTGCAAGCCATGGCAGGCGACAGAAGGGTGCACAGGATAGGGGAAGGGGGTGGAGTTCCTAGCTGTCTCTTGCAGTGACACTTCATTAAGTGTCATTTTATTTATCTCCTTCTTCTTGTTGGGAGGATGAGTGTTCCAGCCATTGGGGGCCTTCTGCATTCTTTCTTCCTCGCACTCCATGCCACTGCCATAGCTGCTGCCCTCTTCTCTGCTCCCAGATAATGACTCTCATAGCAGGAGGCAGAATCTTCTTGAATAAAGCATGGTCAGCCATGTATATTCCATCAAGTTCCAGGATTTCAGAAGAAATGGAGTTCTGAGAATCTGGGGAACCACTCGTAGGGTTCCCAATTTTCTCTTGGAAAAATCCTGGAGATCTGGGAGTGGTGGGTTTTTGTTTTTTTTTTTGGTGGGGGGAATTCTGGAGAGGGGAGAAACCTCAGTGGGAATGGGATGCCAAACAGTTCATCCTCTGAAACTGCCGTCTCTTCCATGATAGGTGATCTCTCTAGAATTCAAGGCCCGACCTGGAGGCTGGTAACCCGAGGAAACAGAGTGATGAAAGTGGCAACCATCTCAGGCATTTGTGTGCTTGAGAGACTTCCCATCAATCTTGAGTGGTGTCTCTTTAGCAGTGCCCACCCAGCTGTCCTAACTCCAGTGAGCTGGCCTCACTTGGAGCTGCAGCCAATCAGGAACATGGAGTCCAGCAATGCTCCAGCTTATTTTGCACCCTAGACGAGGATCCCTTCTATTCCCCCCCCCCCGGGGCACCCACCAATTTTCAAAAATAAATGCATTTTAGGAAGAATGAAAAACACAAATAATCAAGAAACTCCCAGAGTACGGGGCCGGGTGCAGTTTGGTGCCCCTAAGGGCTGTCCCGCTCTAGGCGATTGCCTAGTTCGCCTAGTGAGTGAGCCGGCCCTGCATGGAGTCCAGCAATGCCTGCACAGCAGCCACAAATGTCAGTGGGAGCTGTGGGCCATGCCAGCTGGGCTGTCCAGTTGCATGTGACCCCAAGGCTGTATGTTGTGGATTCATGAATTAGCAGAATGGAGTTGATGGCTGAATGGAATCATTGAATCCAATCCAATATTGAGAAGTAGAAATTTGGGCTTGCAATATTGTGTCCATTTAAAAATGTGTGTTTCCTCATATTATAGGAGATCCAAGACAGAATACGGATTCTAGAACTATATGCCAAAGACCGGCAGTTTGCAGAATTTGTAAGACAGCATCAAATGTGAGTTAGATGCTTCGAAAATAATTTTGTAGTTGTTCCTCTGCCAAGCCTGTTTATTATATTCCACACAGCAGGGATTCATTCAAAAGAAAACTGCCTCAGAGCAAATTGGAAGACTCATTTTAACTCTTTAAAACAGTATGTAAAATCCCAGTATATTTGAATTTTTAAATAGATTTTTTAATATCATATATTTGAATGAAACTAAGGGAGTAAGTACAAGACTGCCATGATTTTATACTTCATTGGAAATATGATGTTATGCAACAGTACCAGTTATTAACATTAGACTAACTTTACATTTATTTTCCTAACTATTGAGACATCAATATGTTGTCGAAAGCTTTCACGGCTGTGTATGGCTGTGGCCTTAGCTAGGGCTTTTTTTGTAGAAAAAGCCTAGCAGGAACTCATTAGCATAATAGGCCACACCAAACAGCAGGAACTCATTAGCATATTAGGCCACACCCCTGAAAGCACAGCTCATTATCATATTAGGCCAGACCCCCATGCCTTCCCTTGGCTTGCCCAGGTGCCCTGTGGCTGCGGGGTATCATGCCCACCATGCTGCCCGACCCAGTGGACCCTGATCCCGAGGATTCTGCACCTTTCTCCTCCAAGGAAGAGCTCCCTGCACCTCTGGACATACGTTTTGCAGAGGATGAACACCGGCTGTCAGAAGGGTTCACACCTGGAGCCGCTCCTGCTGAGCCGAGCACCAGCTCCACACCCTGATTCCCCTCCACCTGTAGCTCGTTTACGAGACCAAAGGAGACAGGATTTGACAACCAGGCATAGAGAAGCACGCATGCGTGGGAGACATACTCTGAGTCCAGAGTATTAACTGGAGCCAGGACTCATTAATCAGCCAGTAATTAATGACACAGGGAACGGGTTTTTAAGGAAGCCTTCTGCACTATCCACCTTGTGCTGGCAACTGATCACATGATTACATCGCGGCACCTCTGACTTTGCATCTGGTTTCCTGACTCCCTGTTTGACTCCCTCGGCTATTTTTGGACTACGGATTGCGTGACATTGTCTTCTGGCTCCTCGACCCCGGAATTTGTAACTGGACTCTGGACAACGGCTTTACATCTCTAACTATGAAGCTCCAGTAACCCTGAACTTCTGCAAGTAATTTGGTATCTTGGACTGTGTTTGTTTTCTCTGCCTCTCTGGTGCCCTGAACTCTGTGTTTACTGGATACTCCGTGCCTTGCCCACCCGCTTGGGCAATCGTGACACAGGGAGCCTGGGTAAGCCACACCTTGAAGGGAAGGGAAGGCCATTCCCGTAGCTGTGGGAAGCCCAGGCAAGCATGTGCAGAAAAACATAATTCTGCCAATTAACACAACTGGAATTTTAATGCAGTTACCATCCCTAGTACCCATTCAGACCATTCATATCTTAACATATTAGAGAGGCAGTCTACGTTCTAGACCTAGTAAAACTAAACCCTCTGAAATGTTCACACATGAATGAAATATCTCAAGGCTGGAATCAGATGAGTATTGGAAAGCCCCTGTCACTTTTCAGTATTCTTGTTGAAGACTAGCTAATATTCAGTAGTTTTTCCTTTAAAATAGGAGTTTGAAAGCTATCAGGAACACAATTCCTACAAGCTAGTCCTTCTTGAATTCTGCAAATTCAACAAGGTAATGAACAAAGAACCTGTCATTGTTAGTAGAATGTAATATCTGCTCTTGTGGGTTCTAGGAAAGTGCAAGCTTATGTGACACTGTTGGACTCTCACTACTGTGGTTGTTCTAAGTGTATAAAACTCAGTTCTTTGACAGTCTTGAAAATTCATTTGTCCACATTTTTAGTGTTTTCTAAAACTGGTTCTCACATTTTAGGAAGGGTGTTGTAGTGCGAAACCTATACTTGCCTATCCCCACTTAAGGGTTTGATTAGTGACTAGTGACTGTGGTGGGAGAAATGACAGCTTGTATTGCCTGTATGCGGGTTTTTGACAAGAACTTAAATAATCACTGCTCTGTTTATTTCCTTTTAGGAAGTTGCTTTAAAAACAGATCCAGTAGAAAGGATCTATCATGAGAAGTGATGGACCATGTTGCCACGGGGATGAGGCACAGATGCGCTGGCAAAGTTTCTTATAGTCTTTTCAGTGAAGTGTATGGATCTTAACTGCTCATGGGTGGATTCTCGTGTCCACTAAATGGGTGGATACATATGAGGAATGCTGCTTATCAGTGGTTAATTCTGAATGCAGCTGTACATCATGAGAGATGTTCAGCATTTGCAAGGTCATGCAAATCAGTTTCATTTGTGTGTAAATGGAGCAGAGTTTAATTCAACGGGACACTGACCATTCTGCAACTGAATTCTCTTGTCTTGTGAAAGTTTGTTTTTCTTTCTGTTTAGGGTTCTGGGGAGGTATAAATAAAACATAATAACTGCTGTTTGGTTTTCTCTGCTTTGGAGAGCTACATGTTTGGGTTTTTTTAAGTGATTAGTAATGAGATAAATGTTGAGTTGCATTTGACATTCTTATAGTTTTGTTACTGTTTCATTCAAATGATATTTGCATTTTAAGAAACAATTTGGTCCATCAGTAAACAAAATTTAAAATGGTAGTTACCTAGATGTTTAGCATATGATTTAGCTTTTCTTGCCCAAAATAATATTAGAATAATATTCTGTTATTAAGAACAAACTTAATGAGGAATTTAGACCATCACATCCTTTGTTTTAAAGTAGTTGCCACTGTTGGCTTTTGTACCATCATCTCATCCCCTTGAGAAATTGGATCAAACCATCTAGACAGTCATCTCTTTCCATCGAAAAATTACCAGTATGACCACGTGCTACTTCTGAACATATGTCGCAGAGAGAGATACTCTGAAGGCAAGAAAGGCTAAATATTCCACAGCTGTTTATTTTTTTAAAGTTTTACTTTGTCAGGAGTTTGATTAAACAGATGTGGATATTTTAACCAATTTGAATTTATAAATTAATGCATTTGCTTGTTTTCTTCTAACTATTTTCATACTGGTATCATATGCAGTAATAAAAATAGCACTAGATTTACTTATTCCAACTCATTCACACGATGGGCAGATGACATTCTAGTTCCTACGTTTTGGAACTACTGTGACACATTTCTCCCCCCCCCCCACACCTTTGTGGTTATATCCATACTGCCTCCTCTTGGTTGAGATGATCCTTGATTGAACAGAGTCCTGAGTCAAGTATGAATATTCTTTGGCAATACTGCCTGGAATGTAAGCACAAAATGTTATTGTGCACTTCCAGACACAGAACTGAGTAGGTATCAACAGATGAAAGATATTTTTTCATGTGGATTCACATACTGAATGGACTTAGCTCACTGGCTTTTAAGTTTTTTAACCTTCAATAATTGTGCAAGGTAGCTCTTCCTCAGTAATATGGTGCCATCAGGCAAGGATATGGGTGAGGGATGGGGACTAGTACTTGACAGCCAACCATGCTGTCAGTTCTTGCAGCTGTGTTCCTTAAGTGGAATTGGGGAACATGCATCAGACGGCTTATTTTTTTTCTTGAAAAAAATGTTTTAACTATGATCAGTGTTCAGTATCTCCATATGCACAGTATACCATCCCACAGCCTTAAACTTTCCTCCATGCTGTTTGTAAGACTGGGCTTTCTGAGGCCACTGTAGTCTGTTGTGATTTATCTGAGCAGGAGTGGCTCAATAAGTGGAGGGATTAATCCTCTGACATATGTTTTTGCAGCTGGAGCACATCCTAGAATTTGGCTCTGAAATGTATTGCAGTTTAAAGTGGTGCATGAGGAATAAGCTGCATGCCTCTTCATGCTTCTTGCCTGCCTTCATACTCTACCAATAATTTGCCATTTAGGGCTTGTCTGCGCTGCTGCTTTGCTACTCGTGAATCTTCAATTAGGGTGAATTTGAAGTGCCTTTGACCTGTGGCATTTGCAGGAGGCACAGTTGGAATATGGGTAATCTATCTTAAAGAGTGGCCAAATTACAGTCGCCTCCAGTTAGGGTTCAACCAAACATTTGCAGACAGTAGTCTGGGATTAGTCCTAAAATGCTGTCATCAAGGTTGTGATACATGGGTCCAGTCAAATGCAGGCTTTGGTCTAATCAGCAGCTTTTCAAATGGCTTTTCTATTCTTCAATGTGCATTTCTATCAGGCAAAAGTGTGCAGTGGCACAGTCCTTGTTATTCAATTATTTGTATGTTTTTTTAAAAAAAGAGACAATGAATAATCAAAGCCCTCATATCCCAAGGTATAGCCCAGTTTTCCTTAATGAATGAAGACACAAGGAGAACCATAGTGCACATTTAAATCATGGGAATGCAAGAGAATAGTGACGGCATAAGGCAAATGTGTGGAAAGCAAAGCAATCTGAATCTAGGGCAATCTTCAGTGCAGACATAGCCTGAGTGATACAAATGAATTACATTTTAGTGGACAATTAGAGTCTGGCAATTGTTGAGCTTTGATAGCAGACTTCAAATCTGAAACGCACGTAATCAGAGAGAAAGTTCTGTATGAGGTAGGCCTGTTCTGTGTTTCTGTGACTTTAGCACATCTCACAGCAATAGATTTGTCTTCCAGAATGCTAGCCTTGAAAAGGTTCTGATCATACTGAAATGAGCATTTCATTGTTTTTTACAGTGCATATTTTTCTTACTGTACATAATATTCTCTCTTTATTTTTCATTGCAATAAAAAATTTTCTTTCAAGATTCCATGTGATTATTTTTACCAATTATATGGCATTTATGATGTCCATAAGAATAAATATTATTATTGTTGAAAAACTCTATAGATAAAATTTGTGGTGGTGGCGTGTCATAAATCCAAGAGAGTGTCACATTGGACAAAAGTGCACCCAAGGCTCTCAAACTGTAGTGCCATGTTTGTGTTGCTGATCTTAAACAGGTGTTTACCCAAATCAACAGCTCACAAGAGATCTGGGAGCTTTATGTAGTAGACAATGGCATGGGATTGCCTGATTCC